TATGCCTTTTATATTGTGTAGTCTCTTATAAAGAGGGTAGAGAAAATGCCTGTCCATGTGAAGATATCACCTTTCAATCATTTTGAAGGAAATTATATGGAAAAGGCCTATAAAAACACAAGGTTCCAAGTACACACTGGAATGATTAAATTTAAAAAGAAAGATAACATCAAGTGTGGCAAGGAACAGGTGGAATTCTCACACACTGCTGGTGGGAGGGCACGCCAAACCATTTTGGAAAACATTTTGCTGCTGAACACATGCATACCCTTTGGCTCAGCAATTCCCCTCTCAGGTATACCCAACAGAGATGTGCTCACCAAAACACACAAAAATACTCACAATAGAACTACTTTATAAAAGAACTGAAAACTACTCAAATGGATAAACAAATTGCAGTTATACTATTCAGCCATGAGAATGAATGGCTTAAAAGTACATGCAATAATATATAAAAGGTTACATAAAAGCAGCCAGAAACAAGAATAGATATTATATGACTCCATTTACATAAAGTTCAAAAACAGGCAAAATTAATTTATGATACTGGAAGTCAAGACAGTGGTTTCTCTTGTTGGTAGTGGGTGGTGACCAGAAAGGACCACAAAGAGGACTGCTGGGGTGCTGGTAATGTTCTGCTTCCTCAGCTGGGTGTGTTCCATTTGTGATAATTCATTGAGTTGTACACGTTTAAAACATTTTTTATTTTTTGAGTCAGGGCCTCACTGTACACAGGGCTCGGTGTACAGGCTGGAGTACAGTGGTACGATCACAGCTCACTGCACTCTCAACCTTTTGGGCTCAAGTGATCTTCTCACCTGAACATCCTGAGTAGCTCAGACTACAGGAGCATGTGACCACATCCAGCTAATTAAAAAAATTCTTTTGTAGAAATGGGGTCCCATTTTGTTGCCCAAACTGGTCTCAAACTCCTGGACTCAAGTGATCCTCCAGCCTTGGCCTCCCAAAATGCTGGAATTACAGGCATAAGCCATTGCACTCAGCCTGAGTTGTATAATTACGATTTGTGCACTTTTCCATACGTATGTTAATATATCAGGAAAAAAGTTCAAACAACAAACAACAAAATCTCTAAGATTCCAGAAAAGGGCAATTCCTTGGATAATCTGAAGAAAGACCTGTTTGCATCACTTGCCAACATTTACAAACTATCCACTCTGCCAGGTGTCACAACAGAGAATAGCAAAAGCATAGATAACTCCCTTCCAAGGGGAATCGAGGTCAAGTAAGAAGAGTCTACTAAACAGACTATTCCATTTTTAAGAGAAGAGCAATCAAGAAAGAACATCTCATTATCAATTTATAATTACTTCCAAATCCCAATACAGAATACAACCTATTAACACCATTTTTAAAAAAGAAGTTTATAAAACCATGAGCTGTTCTAGTTATTTGCCCAGATTCACAAAGAATTGAGAAAGAAATATTAGGCTGACCAAGAATATTAAACATTTGTTTCTCGTTCCCAAAGACTCCGATTTCAGACTGAAATTTTTAAGAAATATGGGACAGGGTCCTTAATGAGCAATTTCCCAAGACAATAACTTTGGCATTGATTTATCTGGAGGCTAGTTTAACAAACAGACAAACAAAACTAAACCAAAAACCCCGGTGTTTAAATCAGCAACAAACTAGGAATAGAAGCAGGATGTGCAGTTACCCTTTGCCAACCTACCTATCCTTGACCAAGACTTCAATAGAGTAGGAGTCCAGAAACCAACCATCCTGAGTCTCACTAGCATGTATATATTTTTTTGAGATGAAGTCTTGCTCTGTCGCCCAGGCTGGAGTGCAATGGCGTGGTCTCGGCTCACAGCAACTTCCTCCTTCCGGGTTCAAGCGATTCTCCCGCCTCAGCCTCCTGAGTAGCTGGAATTACAGGCATGCGCCACCACGCCCAGCTAATTTTTTGTATTTTTAGTAGAGGCGGGGTTTCACCACATTGGCCAGGCTGGTCTCCAACTCCTGACCTAGTGACCCGCCCACCCTAGTGACCTTCTAAAGTGCTGGGATTATAGGCGTCAGCCTCTGCGCCCAGCCTCACCAGCATATTATGTGTCTCACTGAGCCTCAGTTTTCTTATCTCAATGTGCAAAGAGAATCTTAGCTATTCATGAAACAACTTCTGGGCAAAATGATTTGTCAGGAAGCACTGATGATATTATCTAAAAGCATCTAGCACTGTATTTTTTGTAACTTAATTGTAAATCTTCATCTTAAATTACATGAAACTACTTTTTAAAAGACAATAGGGAATGGCTATTATGGGTCAGGTGCTTTACATTATCACTAATCTTCCCCAATAATCTCATTTCAATCAGTAAAGACCCTGAAAGTCTGCAGGGTTAATTAAATAACTTGGACAAAGCCTCAGAACTAGTCACTGCTGATTTGGAAAAGCTTTTAGAAAAAAGCCCAGGGCTGTCTTCTCTCAAATGTGTGGAAAAGCTAGAAAAAAAGCCCAGGGCTGTCTTCTCTCAAATGTGTGGAAAAGCTAGAAAAAAGCCCAGGGCGGCTGTCCTCTCTCAATACCAGGTGGTAAATGTGTGGCAAGCTATGGCTCCCTCTGGCACAAGGGCAAAAATCACAGATCAAGGGAGACACTCTTTTTTTGTTGCTCCTCGATGTAGCCTCAAAATCCCTCTCAGAAAAGATCTCTGGGATACATGAAGGGAAAAAAGAAAAAAAATGTAGAACAGAGCATGCAGTAAGCTAACGTTTGTGTAAGAAGGAATAGGGATAATATACAGTCTCATATACTTGTATAAAGACACTTTGCAGATTTACACAAGAAAGTACGAATAGTGATTACCTATGGGGAAGACAAAGGGAGAAGAGAATAGGGTATTTGGGGACAGGGTGCTTTAATATTTGAATCATACAACCACACTGCCTATATTTTTAAATTAACTTTTAAAAAGAGGGAAAAAAAATCTCAATTTAGCACTACTGCCAGTCAATTAACACTGGCAATTAAGAAAAGGGCTACTTAACATACCCATTCTAAAATCACAGTTTCAACATATCCCTAATACTTCAGTTAGCATGACGTTAGCTATGGCCAAATGATTCACTCAACAAATATTTCCTGAGCATCTGCAATGTTCCAGAGACTCTTCCAGGCACTGAAGATCAAGGAATAAACAAAACAAACAAAGATCCTTATCTTCAAAAAGCTTACATTCTACTGGGAGAAACAGACAGTACAGAATATAAAGACATAAAACATACTATGACACATAGGAAGATGTGCCACAAAGAAAAAATACAGCAAGAAAAGGGGATTTGGGAAGTGTTGAATTCAAGAAGGGGTTGGTTTGGATTTCAGGGCCTTGGAGGGTCTCACTGAGATGGCACTGGGTAAATATATGAAGGAAGTGAGAGAGACTGCCATACTGGCCTTCGGGGGAAGAGCATTCCTGGCAGAGGCAACAGGAAGCACAGAGGACCGGAGGCAGAAGCATGCCTCCTGCCAGGTTTGCTCAAGGAACTTGTAAGAAGCCTGTTCGGCTGGTGAAGCAAGAGCAATGGGGAAAGCAGCATAAGATGAGCTTGGAGAGGCAACAAGACCAGGTCATGTAGGGACCCACAGGTCAAAGTGAAGACTTTGGTTTTCATTCCATGTGAGATGAGTGGCACTGAAGGGTTCTGAGCAGAGAAGTAATACAATCTAACCTGTCCTTTAATAGTAGTGCTCTGGCTGCTGTGTTGAGAAGAAACTGTAGTAGGGTACAATAGCAAAAGCAGTAAGAACAAGAGAGGTCAGCAGCCTCTAAGATGGCCCCAATAACTCCCGCCTCCTGGTAGTCCAGCCCTTGTAGGAGTGTAGACTGGATTTAGGGACCTACTTCTAACCAAGAGAGGTGATGGGATAGTACTTTTAAGGCATGGAAGGATGGTGGTTTCTGTCTTGGGGGCTCTTTAGTTCTCCCTTGGACCCCCTCCTCTTGCTCTAGGGAAGCAAGCTATCATGCTGTGAGTAGCACAATATAGAGACCCATTTGAAAAGAAACTGATGTCTGCAGCCAAGAGCCAGAGAGGAACTAAAGTTTGCCAACAACCATATGAATGACCTTGTGAGTAGATGCTCCTTGCGTCTAGCCTTGAGATGAGTGCAGCCTCAGCCAATACCCTGATTGCACCTAGAGACCCTGAGCCAGAAATATCAAGTAATAAGCTACACACTTGTTTTCAACAAACAAGGTTTGGAGTAATCTGTTACACGGCAATAAAAACAACCAGTTAGGAGGCCAGTTCGGTAATCCAAGCAGGAGATGATAGTGATTTGCACCAGGGTGTTAAAAGTGGAGGTAGTGAGAAGTTGGATTCTGGGTATATTTTAAGGTAGGGTTAACTGGATTTGTCAATATGTGAAAGAGACTGGGTGTGAGATGGCAAAGATGGAGAGAAGACAAAAGCGAATCTGAGGTTTCTGATCTGAGCAAGTAAAAAACTGGAATTGCCATTTATAAAGACAGGGAACTCTGTGAAAGAAAAGCGGAGTGGGGAGGGAGTTGCTATCATGACTCAATTCTGGACATATTTAACCTGAGATGGCAATAAGACATACAAGCAGAGCCAAGACAGCAACTAGATAAATGAGTCTAAGGTTCAAGGCTGTAGGCATAAATCTGAAACTCTTTGACATATAGAGGGTAGGTATTTAAAGCCCCAAGCGCAGATGAAATCACAGGACAGTGATTAAGAGAGAAACTAAAGAGGTCAAGGACTGAGCCCTGGGACGCTCAAACCTACAGAGGTCAGGGAATTTGAGGAAAGCTCAGCAAAAGAGACTGAGCAGAAGCAGGCAGACATGTTGGAGAAATTCCAGGCAAATATGGCATCCTGGAAGCTAAGTAAAGAATGTGTTTCAAGGGGAGGACAGTGATGAACTGTGCCAAAAATACTAGTCAAGTAGACAAGCATTCTTTGACTTCACGCTTTTATTAAAAATAGTTTATCTTTTGGATTCAAGCTACCTCGCTTTCTTGAGTAAAGTCAAGGGCGTCTTCTCCTGACGCCAGCAGTGTGTGCAGAATTCGCTGTTTCACTTGCTCCCATTCAACCAACATTGACTCTCGATGGTACTCCTCAGCCATGCCGAAGGTCTGTCAGAAAGGAACAGAGAACAGTGACGCTCAGGAAAACAACAAAAAATATGGTTTCTTTTTTTTTTAATTTTTAGTTGGAGTCTCACCCTGTCACCCAGGCTGGAGTGCAGTGGCATGATGTCCGCTCACTGCAACCTCCGCCTCCCAGGTTCAAGTGATTCTTCTGCCTCAGCTTCTCGAGTAGCTGGGACTACAGGTACCTGCCACCATGTCCAGCTCATTTTTGTATTTTCAGTACAGACAGGGTTTCACCATATTGGCCAGGCTTGTCTCAAACTCCTGACCTCATGATCCACCCACCTTGGCCTCCCAAAGTGCTTGGATTAGAGGTGTGAGCCACCACACCTGGCAAACATGGTTTCTTTTAGAGCCCAAGAGAAACATAAAGTTCTCCACACATATCACTTCTCCATAGGTAGAGAAAAAGCAACCTACTTTAAAAATTATCTTTGAAGAATTTACTGGCTGGGTGTGGTGGTTCACAACTGTAATCCCAGCATTTTGGGAAGCCAAGGCAGGCTGATTCTTTGAGCCATGTGTTCGAGACCAGCCTAGGCAACATGTAAAACCCCATCTCTACAAAAAATTAGATGGGCATGGTGGTGTGTAACTGAGTCCCAGCTACTGGGAAGGCTGGGGTGGGAGGGTCACTTGACCCCAGGAAGTCAAGGCTGCAGTGAGCTGTGATTGCAATACTGCATTCCTGCCTGGGTGACAGAGCAAGACCTTGTCTCCAAAAAATAAAAATAAAAAATAAAATAAAACCAACCAAACAAACAAACAAAAAACAAAACTTACCGACAACTGTTTGCAACATATCCTATTTCACTGATTTTAAGACATTTTAATAAAACCTTGGTAAAATATGTGTAAATCTTTTTTTTTTTTTTGAGATGGAGTTTTGCTCTTGTTGCCCAGGCTGGAGTGCAATGGTGTGGTCTTGGCTCACTGCAACTTCCACCTCCCAGGTTCAAGCGATTCTCCTGCCTCAGCCTCCCAAGTAGCTGGGATTACAGGTGCCCACCACCACACCTGGCTAATTTTTGGATTTTTAGTAGAGAAGGGGTTTCACCATGTTGGCCAGGCTGGTCTCTAACTCCTGACCTCAAGTGATCTGCCTACCTCAGTTTCCCAAAGTGCTGGGATTACAGGTGTGAGCAACCACATGTGGCCAGAAAACAATGTATTAAGTGTTGGCGAGGATATACAGAAAATGAAACCCTTGTGCACTGCAGGTAGGAACGTGAAATGGTATAGCCTCTGTGGAAATAGTATGGAGGTTCCTCAGAAAATTAAAATTACCATACAGTTCCACTTCTGAGTATACACCCAGAAGAACTGAAAACACGGATATTTGTACACCCACGTTTATAGCATTATTCACAAAAGCCAAGAAGTGGAAGCAACCCAGGTGTCCATCAGTGAATGAATGGATAAACAAAATGTGGTCTATACATATAATGGAATCTTTTTCAGCTTTAAAAAGAAAGGAGATTCTGACACTTGCTACAACTCTTAACATTATGCTGATTGTCTCTGACTTATTTCACTCACAAAAAGACAAATACTGTATGATCCCATTTATGTGGGGTACCTAGAGTAGTCAAATTCAGAGAAACAGAAAGTAGAGTGGTAGTTGCCACGAGCTGCTAAGGGATGGTGGTGATGATTGCACAACAATGTGAATGTACTCAATACCACTGAACTACACACTTGAAAATGGCCTATGTTTTTTTGCTTGTAACCATCCTAATGGGTATAAAGTGGTATCTCATCGTGGTTTTATGTTTCCCTAATGACTAGTGATGTTGAGCATCTTTCCATGTGCTTATTAATATAATCATCTTTATAAAAGCTCTGAAATTAGATCATGTCAAAGCAGTGTTTTTTCTTTGTAGCATATAAAATGGTAGATTATGAAATCAATAATATCTTAAGACATAATAAACATCTAAGATAAGAAAAAGCAAAAGCTTCTGCCAGTGTTTTATTATTATTCCTATATTTTTCTGTTGCCCAGGCTGGAGTGCAGTGGCACGATCTCAGCTCACTGCAAACTCCACCTTCTGGGTTCATGCCATCTTCCCACCTCAGCCTCGAAAGTAAGTGGGATTACAAGTGTGTGCCACCACACCCGGCTAACTTTTGTATTAATACTTTTAGTAGAGACAGGGTTTCACCACGTTGGCCAGGCTGGTCTTGAACTCCTGACCTCAAGTGATCCATCTACCTTGGCCTCCCAAAGTGATGGGTTTACAGGCATGAGCCACTGCCCTCAGCCCCAGTGATTTTATTTTATTTTTTAAAGAAACACTAATATTTTCATAGGAGGAAGCAATCTAGTAAAAGAAAAACAGCCTTCTGGGATTAAACTGCCTACCAGTCTATTCAAAGTTACTGAAAAGCCTGTCTACTGGAAGCTGCAGGTAGCTGTCAAAATAAAGGCATTCAAAAGGAAAAGATAAAGAGAAAGGAGTCTGAGGTAAGGGGGTAAGAGAGGGAAGAAGAAAGATGACCAAAAAAAAAAAAAATCTGGATTAAAACAACACAGAGAAATACTGAATTATGACCATTCTCAGCCTATTATTCTTCAATTAGCAGACCAGGTTTCCCATCAGCTTAAGCCTTTTAAAAAAGCCATTTCATTTACAATCAGATTGGCATCTAATCAGGCAGTACTAAGGGAATGAGGATTAGCAATGCCTGCTTTATTACTGGCAACACAGATTACTTATATTGATAATATTGATATGCATGAGCTTTGGGGAACTGTTAGAAATATGACATACATATACTCTTCCTACAAATGGGATATTTGGTTTTAGACCAATATTTATTAAAATGTGAAGAAAGGACATCAGACATACACACACACAGACGTGATTAGGAAGAAGGCTGGTGCATTGCTGGACTCTTTTCTCATAAATATTCTGCAGACACAGGAGAAAAGACAATCATAAATTTTAAAAACAGTCTTCCAACTGTTTTTTTTCTTTTCATTGAGAGTCAGGCAGAATGGACCATTCCAGTCAGTTAGCCTGCATTGAAAAATACCCAGAGAAAAACCTTTGTTTCTTGCTCACATCAGTAAACTTAAGCATCAAAGTTATGCATTTTAAATCAAGAGAAGTATGATGGAACATAAAGGTGGGGTGGAAGGGGAGAGATAATTTTCTTAGAAGTTGTCCAGAAAGAATGCAGAAGTGGGAGCCACAATTTTGTCTAAAACTTTCCTATGTAGTGGTCAAACCAACTGCTTCCTCAGCCTCTAGCTCTCCAAGCAAGGTAAAATGGAGGGCCAGGCGGCATGAGGATCAGGTAGGGTAGAATTAAAGAGGCTGGGGAAGGCTGGTACATTAGACAGCCTACCGAGCTACAATATGAAGGGAGCACATCACAAAGTGTCAGCAACTCTTTTTTCTTAAAGACAAGACCTCTGGCTAAAGAGTGGCAGAGTAGTAAAGGCAATGAAAGAAACAGACAATATATCACCTACAGAAACTGTTTAAGAGAACAGTAGAGGCAGACTTCCAGCATCAGGTAAGGGTCAGAATGACGACAGTGTGAATTAACCACTCTGTTAATTAGGTTGCCTGCCTGTTTGCCAAGAACTCCTGCTTAGTACTTTGAAAACTATCAGCTTTCCAGGTGCAAATCCTCAAATATATCTGAAAGTATGCCAGGCTACTCACTCAGAAACAGTCTCACAACCTGAAAGAACAGTGCTGTGGTTCTATTTACCATTAGTGTGATAAGGAGCTTCAAATAAAAATAAATGGCCCAGGAGGGCAAATCACTTGAGGTCAGGAGTTTGAGACCAGCCTGGCCAACATGATGAAACCCTGTCTAATAAAAATACAAACATTAGCCGGGCATAATGGTGGGTGCCTGTAATCCCAGCTACTAGGGAGACTGAGGCAGGAGAATCACTTGAACCCTGGAGATGGAGGTTGCAGTGAGCCAAGACTGTACCACTGCACTCCAGCTCGAGTGACAGAGCAAGACCCTGTCTCAAAAAATAAATAAATAAATGGCCCAATAAAAAAATTCTCTTCCCTTGATTGCATCACCCCAGCTTATCTTAATTACATTAGCAGTAATGGAACATTCAATCTGTGGGCTAATCAGGGATGATCAGCCACCCATCTGTCCCATTCCAACCTATTCCGTTTACATCCACATCTGAACCATTGAATTAAGAGCAAGGAAGAAGGCTAACTAGAGGAACTAATGAGAGAGAATCAACAGAACTGTTCACCTAGCAATTAAGAGGAGGGCAGTGAGAGTCTAAGGTGAGGTCGAGGTGAGGACAAAAAGAAAAGAAACCCAGGGGAAAAGAAAAAGGATAAAATGGAAGGATGTGGAGAGATATAAAAATTAAAAGGAAGGCAAAACAAACCACAGGAAGTAACAAAACAGTGGAGAAACTATTATAAATTAAATCTGAATCTTTCAAGTTATTGTTATGGTATGGAAAATATTTGTCTTTGAACAGTTAAGAAAAAAAGGCATGGAGAGAATTGGGCAGCTGAATTAAGAACAGGTGGGAAGCATTTGAACCCCATTTTCATGAAGGGAAGAGGGCAATATGCTTTGACTTCACACTCTTTTATTACTGCACTGTTGCTGGCTTTTAGAAACACTGCATATGTTGATAATGTTGTTCTGTTTTTGCTGGGATGTACCAAATGGGGAAAGACAGGACACAGTTGTGGTTTTACAGCTTGTTTTCTTGGCATTTCAGCAGGACACTGGCAAGTTATTCAAACATGAAATTGTCACCGATATACCAGAAAGTTGCTCATTTTTTGTGTGAAAATGATTCTTGCTCAGTGGCAGTTTCCTGGTGTCCAGACAGGTCAAAGGTCTCCCCCTAGGCTGGCTCCCAACACTGGAATGCCTCCCTCACAAACACATATGCACACATTTTGCACTGTGGTTTGTCACCTAAATGTTTTGGCTGGCTACACATTTAGTCTCAGTATGGCACAATGTTCAGAGACTGCCAATTCCAGAAACACATTCTGCGGGGTAAATGGATTAATAAAGCTTGGTAGCATTCAACAATCCTAATTTAATTTCACTGGTTCTTTATAGCAGGAGAATCAATATTGGTGAGTAACTCACTTAACGTGAACCAAAAAAGCCCTTTTAAAAATATTTCCAGATCTGAATCAAGTGAATTTCTCCATATCTATGACTAAGTACTATTGCCAACAATACAATTAATGAAATTTTGGGAATTTTATTTATTTTTTGGAGACAGAGTCTTACTCTGTCACCTAGGTTGAAGTGCAGTGGCACGATCTTAACTCACTGCAACCTCCACCTTCCAGGTCCAAGCGATTATCCTGCCTCAGCCTCCTGAGGAGCTGGGACTACAGGCATGCACCACCACACCCGTCTAATTTTTGTACTTTTAAAGACAGGGTTTCACTACGTTGGCCAGGCTGGTCTCCAACTCCTGACCTCAAGTGATCCACCTGCCTCAGCCTCCCAAATTGCTGGGATTACAGGTGTGAGCCACTGCACATGGCCGGGAATTTTATTTTGATAATTAAACATATCAGTTATTTAAATAATGACTTTGGAACACTTCCTTATAAATTGGAGCTGGCAAGTCTCCTTGCTGCCCTATTTCACCTCAGTACTACTGAGACATGTTCACCTTCACAGAATATTTTAATAAAACACACTGAGAAGCAGTATTTTTTCACTTTATTATTTTGGAACTACACAAATAAATTTCACTTGATAAAAGAATTAAATAAGTAAACAGCAAAACAGAGGTCTCATTTCAATCCTACTCCCTTTGCAGAGAGGACCATTGCTAGTTAATGGAATGTACCCTGCAAGCCTCTTTCCTGGGGAAAGCTGGACTTCTAGAACCAAGGACAACTAACCTTTCTTCTCTCTCACCAAAAATGCCCCAGTGGCCCCAAAATCTTTTTCACTATAATGGGATGTTATGGAAAGGTTTTGATCTTTGGATCCTTGTCAGAAATAAATAGAGATAACTCACATGTTAGTAAACAATCTTTGAGTATCTTGCAGGAATGTTTGTTGCAGAATATTGTTGCATGTATAATGGCTACTCTCTGGCGGACTTATTTACCATCTTTTCAAGCATGGAGCGAGTTTTATGTGTTTTTGTTGTTTTTTAACGAGCTTGGAGAAATTGTTAATATAAAAGGTGGTCCAGTCATATTGTGTAATAAATGGAAAAGAAGCTGAGGAAAATTGTCACTGATCACAGCTGCTTTTCTGAACTGCTCATTTAGGAGAAACCGAAATACCATTTATACAACAACAATGAAACCAAGAGTTTTTTGGTCTTTCCATTTTAAGATTAAAGTAATAATTAATTCTCCAGTCCAGTGTCTCAGACACATTTCAGTCTCTAAATACATATGGAGTTATACACATGAGATTCTCAAAAAATAGTTCCTGTAGAACTCTCTCTCTGTAGGAGAGAACTCAGCATGGGACCCAGATTCCATCTTCTAAATCCTATACCTCCCTAACTCCCCTATTATACATCGCTGCCCTCATCTGCTTTTTTTTTTGTTTTTGAGACAGGATCTTGCTCCTCATTGTGTTCCCCAGAATGGAATGTAGTGACGTGACTCCAGCTCACTGCAGCCTCCATCTCCCAGACTCAAGGGATTCTCCCACAGCCACCTGAGTGTCTGAGACCATAGGCATGTGCCACCATGCTTAGGTAATTTTTTGTAGAGACGGTGTCTCGCTACGTTGCTTAGGCTGATCTTGAATACCTGGGTTCAAGTGATCCTCCTGCATCAGCCTCCCAAAGTGCTAGGATTACAGGTATGAACCACCAAAGCCCAGCCCTCTTGTCCTTATCAGTATATGTCTATATTTTTGTTAATTTTCTTACCCTCTTCCGGGACTCTTCAATGGCAGACAGCAGGGCATTGTCCTTCTCATTCTTTAGGAATCCCTATAAATGGGGGAAAAATTAACACAACTTAAAACCGACTTTCCAAAATCAAAAGTATACTACAGGACAAAAAATAACCACAATGGTATCTGCTACGTTACCTACCTCCACCTCACAAAACGCTCCCAACTTGAAAACACCAAAATAGATGGTTTTTACAGAGGTTTCTTAGTTTCTTCCATTCTGGGAGTACATGATGATTGTTAGAAAGTAAAGTCTCCATGAAACAACAGCGTGGGGTTCTATATCCCATAAACACATAAAAAGTAGACAGTCAAGACTGTCCTTCAAAATTCCTAAATGGCTCATATTATAGATACAGCCTTGGTGATGGAGCCAGTCACAATTCCTCTAACTGTTTTTTAGTCTACATTTCTCTGTTGGTTTCAATTAATTTCTTCCTAACATTGAGGATGTCATCACTGCCTACTTGTCTGTGTGCTTTTTGTTTGTCAATGTCTGGGAAATCCTAAAAATCCTTTCTTTACACATTTCTTCCAGGGTTTTGCCATGTGTACTCCCTGTTTCAGGTCTGATGATGTCTGCTGGTCGTTTAGTATAGGTGGGATGAAAAGGCAGCCTACAAGTCTAGTTTAGTATAAACAGGTTAAATGCCTGCAAAATGCAACTACACAGTAACACAATGGCAAAAGGATAGGCTATGAAATTTGGCAGTTTCAAATCCTAGTGTCTCCATTTACTAGTAGCAGTACTTTAGCCAGGTAGCCCAAACTCTTAAACCTCAGCTTACTCATTTGTTGAAAAAAAAAGATAATGTAATGAAGTTATTGACCCAAGACTTAATACATGTAGGTCCATTATTGGAATCGATTAGATTTAGATCTGTTGGTGACTTCCATTAATGAAAGAGATGCCCAGGATGATCTCCTTTCTGCTGTTCATTGTACTTATTTGCTTTAGCTGAGATCCGATAGGAAATGGGCCAAGACACTGTTCCGACAGTCACAGTTGCAGACAGGCAGACAGATACACAGAGTGCACTTCCATGTCAACATCTTGCTCCCATACAAGGGGGCAGTTTCTTTTCCATAGCTTGGGGTGGTGGTGGGGGTGCTGAGTAGGAACAAGGAAGATGACCCATCAACTGATATGTAGAAATCAAAGTCTTAGTTGTAATATGAAGAACTCAAGTTACCTTACACATCTGATCCACCTATACGCCAATGCAAGGTACAAACATGTCAAGCACACTACTGGTGCATTATACATGTCTAAAACAATTTTTTTTTTTTTTGAGACAGAATTTCACTCTTGTTGCCCAGGCTGGAGTACACTGGGGCGATCTTGGCTTTCTGCAACCTCTGCCTCCTGGGTTCAAGTGATTCTCCTGCCTCAGCCTCTCCAGTGGCTGGGATTACAGGCCTGCACCACTATGTCCAACTAATTTTGTATTTTTCATTAGAGATGGGGTTTCTCTATGTTTGTCAGGCTGGTCTTGAACTCCTGACGTCAGGTGATCTGCCTGCCTCAGCTTCCCAAAGTGCTGGGACTACACCACTGCACCCAGCCTAAAATGACATTTTTTTTCTTTTTTTTATTGAGACTAAGTCTCACTCGGTGGCCCAGGCTGGAGTGCAGTAGCACAACCTGGGCTCACTGCCAACTCTGCCTCCCGGGTTCAAGCCATCCTCCTGCCTCAGCCTCCCAAATAGCTGGGCTTACAAGCGTGTGCCATCACACCCAGCTAGTTTTTGTATTTTTAGTACAGATAGGGTTTTATCATGTTGGCCATGATGTTGGCCTGCTAAAGTGCTTGGATTACAGGTATGAGCCACCGCATCCAGCCCCGTGTTTTTGCTTTTTTTTTTTTTTGAGATGGAGTCTCACTCTGTCACCAGGCTGGAGTGCAGTGCCTCAGTCTTGGCCCACTGCAACCTCCACCTCCCAGGTTCAAGCGATTCTCCTGCCTCAGCCTCCCAAGCAGCTGGGACTACAGGCGTGTCCCATCACGCCCAGCTAATTTTTGTATTTTTAGTAGAAACAGGGTTTCACCGTGTTAGCCAGGATGGTCCCGATCTAGTAACCTCGTGATCTGTCTGCTGTGGCTTCCCAAAGTTCGGAGATTACAGGCGTGAGCCACCGCCCCGGCCGTTTTTGCATTTTAAAGAAACTTTGGAAAAATGTAATATGAAGTAGAATTTGACAAAAGCTTTTAAAATAACAAGCTAAATTAAAACACAATTGTTTTCTTGCATTGGAAACTTACTGTCATGGTTAATTCATTTTTTGATCATTTTATAATTTAACAACTGTAATGTTTTAGTATACAGTCACGTGTCACTAAATAACAGGGACACATTCTAAGAAAGGCATGTACTAAGTGATTTCATCGTTGTGTGAACATCATAGAATATACTTATACAAACCTAGATGGTATAGCATACCACACCAAGTTACATATCGTCTAACTTGTTGCTTTCAGGCTACCAATCTGTACAGCACGTTCCTGTACTAAGTACTGCAGACAACTGTAACACAATGGTAAGTATCCGTGTATTACTATTATAGATTTCCCAGATTCCTTACGTATTGGCCTATGACTGCCCAAAACCTGCTATCACACCCCAACCTGGGCAATGCACTGGGATGGACAAGGGATAATGACTAGCAGCCCAGGAAATAGTTCCTTCATAAAGACTCCATGGCCAGATACAGTGGCTGATGCCTGTAATCCCAGTACATTGGGAGGCCAAGGCAGGCGGATCACTTGAGGTCAGGAGTTCGAGACCAGCCCAGCCAACATGGTAAAACCCTGTTTCTACTAAAAATACAAAAATTAGCTGGGTGTGGCGGGAGGCACCTGTAATCCCAGCTACTCAGAAGGCTGAGGCAGGAGAATCGCTGGAATCTGGGAGGCAGAGGTTTCACTCAGCTAAGATTGTGCCACTGCACTCCAGCCTGGGCCACAGAGTGAGAATCCACCCCCAAAAATAAAAATTTTAAAAAAGGACTCCTCCAGCACAGTCTCTCAGGACACAACATGAAGACTCTTCAAATATGTACACTGATAATTGGGGTGCGAGGTGGGATGCAGAATGGCATCGGTCACTTGCCTAATAATGTAATGACATCAATAAACCAGAGCACATAAAGCTAGGAACCCACATAGTCCCTTCGGAAGGTGGCAGCTTGTTACCACCTGCCTGCTTTTGGCCATCACAGGGGAACCAGAAACAAAACAATGGCAGATTTTAATGGGCCTTGTTTGTATCTTTCACAGCAAATGATTATGTCAAGTCAACAAATCTTTAGTATGAATGCATTTTCATTAGTGGTCTCCAATGTGGCTAAAGCTAAAGAATTTAACAGTTTATAAACAAAGCTATGAAACTATTATCATTGACTGATGCTCCCAAACAGTAAGTAGGCACAGACTGTACTCTGTGGCACCCTTTTCTGGCTGCTGTTATGCTGCTTGCTGCTGATTGTCTAAAAAAGTGACGTTTGAAGGTAGCGGGGAAGGGGGGATTACCACTGCCTCACAAAGCCTGGTCTAAAATTTTCTTTTTGGTTGAGGAGAGGGGAGGGGCTTGTGTTAAGTCGGATGTTCTGTCACTTTCCTTCTCTGGGCTTCCTCCGTTCTTCCCAGTCAATGACCAGCCCATCCCATTCTTTTGATGACACCTATGTTCACACCTCTCTCTCTCTCTCTCTCTCTCACACACACACCACACACACACACACACACACACACACACACACACCACAAATGCAAAGTAATGACCAGACACATTTCTTGAAAAGTAAAATGATAATTACTCTGGTCTTTAAAATATTTACTATAAAGCTACATTTTACAACTCTCAATAAATTAAATGAAGCCTGTGTGTGAGTCAAACCTCATCCACATATGAACAAAGCCCATTAACCATTACATACTTCAAAAATTGGACTCTCTCTAAGCAGTCTGAGCCCACAAAATAGATTTTGAATTTTAATTTTTCATCATTTTTTCCTTTCTAAAACGAAGTGCTAAATAGGTTATATATAATATTTTATTTTATTAAAAAAAAACACACTAGTGGCCTGTCTTTTCAAAATAATTTTTTAAATAATTTATACAGCAGAATAGTGCTGGGCTGGGATCTGTGTGCCATCTAGTGGTAGTTTCTTTCAAAAGACCCACACCTCAAGGAAAAGTAACAGCCCATTGGAATTAAATAACTAAAAAGGTGGGCAGAACTATACCTGCCTCAGTCCAGGTCCCCTAGAGATCTCTTGACTTCCTTTTCCTACCCCTATGTTTCCTTTCCCTCCAAACTCCTTCTTCTGTGAGACGCCTCTCGTGCCTTGCCCAGGAGATGTACTTGTATAGCTTATGGGAAAATGAGTTATCTGGTGAAGGAAGCTGGAACATGAAGGATTAATTGGCTCCCTGCCACTGAGGCACCCCCTGGGCACAGAAAAGGCCTAATAGTTCACCTTCCAATGATAGATGCCAGAATCTAACGATGACCCTGAGAGCTCCCCATCACTGGTATCCCTTCAACCCATCAACACGTACTTATAATTGCTCACAGTCCCCCATCTGATCCTTCTGCTGTGGGGGCCACTTAACAAAGAACACCCCCTAAAACATCTGCAGGCCAGCTAGGTCAAATAACTCCTCCCAACTTCCCCATCTATATACTGTTCCTCACTGCCAGGGTGCTGAAACAGACCCTTGCCTAACTGGCTCCTCAAATGTGTTTTGGTTTCCAGCTTTCTGTAACACATAATTGCCACAATTCAGGAAGCAATTAAGGGCCAGACACTGCTCTAGGCAAGTCAAAGACATTACTGCTAATCCTTTAACAACACGAAAGAACAGAGATGATCACCCTACTCTCTCCTACCTCCCTCCCCTGCCCCATTTTACAGGTGAGAAGCTGAGATTTCCACATTTAACTAACTTGAGCAAGAATTCCCGACCAGGAGGAGGCAGAGGCAAAATTCAAACATAGTTTCGACTCTCAAGACCAACTATTTCTACGATACTT